GTAAACATAAAACCATGTCTGCATTTGTGATCGGAGAAACGACAAACAACAAGCACTATTCTACACTGCTTAAAACTTGCGTTTGAATCATCAGTGGCAAATTCTTTAAATATAAAAAATGTACTTACAGGCTGTGAGTCAGAAGCGCCAGACTGTCCTTGCAAAGTTGGAACTGCCCCACTTTATAGAACAGCCTTTGAGCACAGACTGGGCTGGACTCCGCTTCGTCCACGGTGAAAGCCGATGCGGCGATCGACAGTGCGAAGTTGATGATTGATTTCCTCAGCTACCAGCACAGATCAGCTCTAGGCATGACGAAGCGGATATCGTCCTCTTTTGGAAGGCCAAACAAAGTAGTTTCGCTTTCACAACAAAACACACAGCATCTCCACAACATGGTGGCGGTGGCAACAACAATACTACAGCGAGAATAAAAGTTACGCCTTCTTTCTTTGCGTGAACATTTGGGCGGTGTTATGCAAATCTTCTCACACAGTGACGTAGACATATGGGGGCGTGTTTAAACGAGGCGTTTTAGGAGGGCGTGGAAAAGTCTTAACTTTTATAAAGAATATCTCTTTGGATTTGAGACTTTAGTCTTTGCAACTTTACAGATCTTGTAACACTCCAAAGAGAAAGGAAAAATTGAAATCGCATCAGATGACCCCTTTAATATTGCATAATTTGTCCTTTATAGGGTTAGTTCAGGTTCAGGTAAAATATAATGTTGTGTGACATGATAAATAATAATAAATAATAAATAAATAAGCTAAATAAATTATAAAGTAGTTATTTTAAATTAGTTTTTGAATAAATTTTATTATTTAGTACTTCATGATATTTGCACAAAAAAGCTTTTCTTAAAATAATGATTAAGATTATACTAGCATATATTCAAGAAAAATATGTAAGTTTTTATATGATGGTTACATGACATTGCATTTTTAGACATCTAAATTTTCATTGAAAATGTCAGTTTATTGAAACCAATATTAATACAAAGAGTACATTTCTAAGTACTTGTTTTTAGATTAAAAATGTTTTTGTCTTTATCATGGACATTCATGGCAATTGCTCATGTACAAACAGAGCACTGTGTTTTAAGTGAAAACTTCAGTGTAGTAATGATTCAGATCAGTTGTATGCTGTCTGAACTGCTGTGTTGAAAGGCGATTTAGCAACTTGGTATTGGATGTAAGAACTGCTTTTATATTGGATGTCCGCCAGAGGTCCTTCCTGCCGGGATTCTGTGCATGCTTGAGTGCTGACTGGCATGGTTAAGGCTATTGAAAGAAGGCCTTACAGTCACAATGTATTGACATCCCAAAAAACATTGCACGTGTGTGCTGTACATTGTGTTACCAAATAACATCACAGAGGGACGACTTAAGTATTTGCTACCATTCTGCACCGTCAAACATTTCGCCTCCCAAATCACCCTTGAAAAAGCTATTCAGCCTTGGCAGTTGTCCATGAATTAGAGATCGACATAGATATTATTCATGTGTTTATATCTTGGATGAAATTGAAAGAATTCGCATGCCCTTTGGGGGTTTGAATGTGGTAGAGATGGGTTGAAAAGTGATTCTTTATTCAAACGCAGTTCAGCTTGGGTTCTTAAACATGGCAATGTTACCGACTGTCTCTCATCTAAGAACACAAAATATCTGTCCTTAATGGCTTTACACCAAGTGTGCAATTTGAGTGACCCAGTGGTCATTTTATGATTAAGTGTGCTAGTGCCCCATGTTTGACTTCACAATACCACTACCCAAAGACATGGACTTGTGTTAGACTTAGAATTCAAGTTTTTTTGTGCACAGACTTTACATTCAAAAGAGATATGATATGTCTTATACAATGAAGAATGTGTGCGGTCCAGTGTTGTTTTGGACCCTATTTACACTGTACTGAATTATTTGTTGAAGTTGTAAATAAAACAAAGATTATTAGGGTATGTTTTACAAGAAAATACTATTTTATTTTTGTACTTCAGTGTATTACTAAATTTATTAGTAATTTCTAAAAAAAAAAAGAATAATCCAAATTAAAGTGTACTTTAATTGTATTGACAAAAACATTTCAAAATTTTGAAGAAAGTAGGTCATACACGTTTTCAGCCAATGTTTATACTCCCTCATTTTTGGGTGAAATATCCCTTTAAGGATTTTATGGACACTGGACATGGAAAATCCTGAAATTTACAAAAAGCTGGTCGATTTAACAGAAACTGGCTTTGAGAATAGAAGAAGCAGCTTATTTCTGTTGCTTTTAGGCCTCAACCTCAGTGATGGATACACTAGCCCTCCACTGTCTGTACTTGTAACTTTGTTTCTCACGCAGAGGGTGCTATATTTCTACGCCTGGAGCATGTGGAGTTTAGAGCATGTCTGGGCAGCATCTGAAAGCACTCTGGAGTGACCTCACAAGTACAAGCCCCTGCTCCTCCATCACTGCAGGCTGAGAGGCGGGGTAACAGTAGCCCCGCAGTGAACTCACAGACATGTACAGCACCACAGGAGCGTAGGGCCTGGCTTTTAGTCGATGTAGAGTGGGTTTCTGGATTATTCCATTTGACCCACAGGGTTGTCACTCTGGAGACAGAATCTGAAGGGAAACAGTCACCTTTTTAGACTCCTCATAAAATAATAAAAGTAATTTAATGTTGCATTTGGGGTGAACTTCCCTTCCCTTAAGCGAAATGCAGTCTAATTCAGCAGATCCGCTTTGCACCGGTAATTGATTTATTCTTAGACACTTTTTTGTGCATTCAGGGGTGATTTCACTAAAGTTTTGCCATTTTTGCATTCATTATTTCAGCACAAAAACTTTAGCTTAGTTTACAAAGCTAAGCAGTATTTGCCATGTGTGGTTAATACTGTGCTGTTATTGCAAGAGAAAAGCAGGTGGTAAACAGAATTTGATTTAAAAACGATGTCAATATGGCCATTTTCCATTGATCATGGCAGCAGCAGTTCAGCAAAAACTGTTAAAAAATAGTTTTAAAAACTACATAAACAGTCAAATGGTATAGTCAAGCATATTTCATAATTTGAAGGAGTCGATTCAAGTATCTGAATCACAGTTGTAAAGTTGTAAAGTTCCAGTCAACTATGTCAGACTGCAGTAGTCTGCTGAATGCTCCAAAACCAAGCTGCAGGATAGGGAACATGCATCATGAAAATCATAAAACATTCAGCAGTAAATTGGATTTGCATAGGTCCTTTATAAAATCAAGTGTTAAATCCATGCCAATAGTAAATAAGTGGGACTAAATGAAACTCTCAATATTTGACAAAGTATGATAAAGTATTTGTCATTCTCAATGACACATTCAAAGCATGTGACCAGACAACCTAACTGCTTTTGATGCAGACTGCATATTCAATTCCATTCATATTTAATGTCTGTACCCCCCACATGCACACGGACAAACACACATGCCTAATTCTTACATAATAAAGAGTTTGTGGACGAAGAGAATTATGTAATTCCAGGGGCTAAAACTGATTTTATGGAGATTAAGGTACACTGACCTTTCTTAACTAACAGATAATCAATTATATGGATATTTGTATTACAAATGTCCAAATTCTCCTTTCATTTATAATTGTGGGAGACACAATAACAAAGGATGACCTTACTTTTGTGCTCAGGGCAGTGAGGGTTGTTTCTGAAGTGTGCAAAAGTAGCTTTTTTAAGGGCCATCAAATTTTATATTGAAATATTTCTTACCAGACCATACAAAAATTAACAATGGTTTTATTGTAGTAAAGGTGTAGCCATGGTTTTTTGACTTATTGATTACCATTTGTATAACCACATTTTTGCTACAAATACCTTGGTTAAACTATGGTTAGTCTAGCAACACCATGGTTAATTTGTGGTTACCATGGTTTAATTACAGTAACCATTGTTTTTTTAGTTTTATTTGTAGTAAAACCATGGTCATTTTTCGTAAGGGAACAATTAAATGTTTTGCACCATTTTCTATATATAAATGTTTGTCCTCATGATACTGAAATTATTTAACCATGTAATTTTTTCACTTGCAGCATCATCATATGATAACATAAATGTATCACGAGTTTCTCTATTATTCACATCTTTGAGATTTAAAAAGAAATTGGCCCCACCACCACTAAATTCCACCCATTTTCAGGAGGGCTCCATCTTGAGCCTGGAAATCGTCTCAGGTTACG